AAAGCCTTGTTTCCTAAATGTTATTCCGTTGTAATGTCTGGAGAGACTGTGACATAGAAGTATGGCACAGTCGCTGTAGCTGTGTGAATCAGGGTCCGAATAAATGTATTGAACTATAATGTTCGATTAGGAGTTTAGTATCTATTTATCTGTGAGAAAGGGCAGATTTTCATGTTTGCCTAGAACAATCTAGAGACCGTTGTTGCTTTGGTTAACAGACGGTATTAACATAGATTAATGGATGAATAGCCTGAAAAAGGTTCTTCCTCTGTACATCATTAATTTCTGCAGCATTTATGCAGAAGCTGTCAAGCAGCAGTTTAGTAAGCACAAGATTTTTCTTGACTTTAGACTGAGGATAAAATTTGACAGTGCAACAACCAGTTGCTGTTTACAAGAGCATAAATAAAAGAGGAATGCCGAAAGTGTTGGTGGACAAGTCTCGAAAACAAACTCTGTGTGTGGAGCCTCATTTTCCCCTTCAGTGCTCGTAGATGTGATGTATTTCAAAGGTGATATATTTTTGTTCCCGCTGTTGTGTTGCAAGTGTAGAAACACCATTTTCTCAGTTGCAGTGGCATCCTGTACATACCATCTTTGTACTGCTGACAAAAGGAGATTTGACTTGTGTAGTCAGTGAGTTAGTTAATGTTGTCAGCAGTCTCAGCCCAAGTGTGGACAATTGGCTAACAGCCCCAGTGGAAATACTTAGCTTTGTCTTGATGCTAAATCGCTGCTAAGGCCATCACTTTCTATTAGCTCCCTGTTGTGACCCAAATCTGGTTGACACACAGACCTTGTGCCTCTCAGACACCAGTCCCAGAAAACCCAGCATTACTTTCACATAAATAAATACCACTGTATGAATCTTAACTCTTTCAACCTCTGTAAATTCAAGAGAAAATACTTCTTCCTTTGCTTTACTACTACTGTATAGGTAGACTGCCTTGCTAGATACCCCTCCATTTCACACCTGCGTTTCCTTGTAGCAGTTCCCATGTGACCTTTGTAATTGTTTCCCTTTTTGCCCTGTACCTGCATATGTAGCACATGTATTGTGTACAAGGTAGTGCAGAAGTCACGTTAAGAGGTGTAAATCAGCCTGTGCTTTATAGACACCAGAGCCCTTGGTGCACCAAGATGCAGCACTGGAGCTAAAATACTGTGGCTCTCAGGTAATTTCACAGACAATCTATCATGCATTACTATAACCTGTTACCTAGTGTGAGCCCTGGCACCAAAAAGTGATAAAATGATCCTTATATGTTCTACTTTCCTTTAAGCTAAATGAGACATGTTAGCCAAAACTGTACTTAGCTACCATGTCAGTCACTACTGCCCTTCCCTGAAGAACTGCAGTTTTGTGTCACTGACCGTTTTTCTAGAAACTATGGATTGAGACCATTGTTTCCTGGTTAGACATTCAAGACCTGGAGAGAGCTTTTCAACATTTTAAACCTTGTTTTATGTATTTATATTGGACTAGCCATGTGTTTTCCCTAATAAATTAAGCATCTCAGTGCATTAGGTGAAAACAGCATTATTGTTCTGACTTACTGGGAAACAGGGAAGACTGATTTGTGTTGTAACTGCATAACAGAGATCAGGCAGAAAGATCCTTTTCTTTCAGAATTTCAGTCATATAGACCTAAGTTTTCTAAATATCAGGCCATGTTCTAGGAAAACCAAGATGCCTGTGACCTGTGCATGTGACTGCATACACATGCACAAGTTTGTAGCAAATGCTCACAAATCTGGCATCCTTCATTTCAGTTGCAACTGATATCACAGAAAGCTGTCCATCGATATAACACCCTCAGAAAATAATGGGTACCATTCATCTTACTCACATATATGGAAGCTAAAAAAGGTTGAAAATAAGGGTCTCAGTCTTTTATGTATCATTTTGTAAGAGAATAGAATTACTTAATTCTGGCTCCATAGGTATCCAAGTTGAACCATCAAGAGTGAATACAGCCATTGCCTGTAGGTAATACTTTTCCCAAGAAAATGGCATGAACCAATACAGAAGAGTAACGGCAACCCATAAACCTTCTAAAGCAGCCCTTAGAGGCATCCTGTGAATGAAAAACCTATTTTCCAGAGCAGAACAGGGTAGCTGCCAAAATACCAAAACCACAGAGGTAACATGAAGAACTCAAGCAGTGATCTGACAGTTAATCTGGCAACAATCATGGACTGGGATATTCAGCTCTCTGAGTCAATATATTCTTTTCTAAGGTGGTATTTTACTGCCTTTACAGTAGATGTTGACTTTGTCCTAGCAAGACCAGCCTGCCTTACTGTAATTCTTACAGCTAGTCTGGATTTCCCATGAAATGTTCTCATATTCAAGCACACTGGACATTTTCTCTAAATGAGGCAGTGCAATTAAGCAATCCAGCTGATACTTTGACGCAGCTTCTGTGGAGCTGAGGGACCCAGAATGATGCTGCCATTACAGAAATTATGCCCAGGGACAGCACCCAGAGTTACTCAGAGAGACTATACAGAAGCAGGGAAAGGAAAAGAAAGCCTCTTGTCTGTGCTTCTGTAATGCAAGACTACAGTCATATTTCACCTGACAGATCCTCTGAATATCGTCGTAGAGGCAAATGAACTATTCCCTGCTCCCTATTCATTGCTTGTTTTGTTTGTAAATGTGGTGGCGTGATTTAACTTGATCAAATGGTTACCTAAATAGATGGTTTCTATCTCTGTGAATGTACAGGTGAATTGTTATCCAGACAAAAGTCTCAGAAGGTTTTCTTTTCAAATGGAAGTAAAAAATATCACCAATTCTAAATAAGCACGTAATTACTTCAATTTCCAGCTGGCAATGGAGTTCCAGCTCAAAACAGAGCACTGTAGATAAATCCAGTTCTAAAGAGCAAGAGCATTAAAACTTGCACAACACTAGACATGCTGCTTGACCTAAGTAGTGAATAGTGATGTCAGTTTTTGCAGTATATATACTAGAATTTTCTCACTTCATAAGTGAATGTCAAAACTTATGTGGATTCACTAGTTTGTAAAAGGGTTGGTTTTTATTCGGTGTTTCAGCCTGCACTCATTTTATTTGAAGATTTGTTGGATACATATTTTCAAGGCCAAATGACATCGTTAGGCTATGCATTCTGCAAAATGGAGGATACAGCTGGACATCCAGTAGGTGGTTTTTTTGGTGAAAGATCAGATCCTGAATAATATATGCACATGTATTGTGCAGAAGAAAATAAATTGTTCATATTATTTTTTGTCTGCAATTGAGAAAGGTGTTGCTAATGTGCTCTTTCATATCCTGTAATATGCTCAGCACTTCTGAAGCATGTAACATGGATTTAAGATGTCCTTCTTTGAGAACAGGAGACAGAAGGCAGGGGAGATGGTCCATCTTCCAGTGATTGTCTTCAGCATCTCAGTCCCCTCTGGTTTTGGTGTTTAGCTCTTACTTAATTAAGCAAACAAACAAGTAAATAAATAAATAATATACCTTGTTGTGCTTTCATGATAATTCTTTCTGGTAATTTTATAAGTCTTTACAATGCAGTGAAACACTGGATCAGTTATTGTTAGTATTTTTATATGGGTAAGAGCCAACCCAGTTGTGTTTGGTGGTGTGAGGCAGCTGTTGGTCCCTGCAGGGAGGGCCAGGCCTGCAGCCTCACAGGAGCCATATGGCAGCCCTGGGCCCATGGAAAGCACAACGGCAGAGCTGCCAGACAAAAGGCCTGACTGATAGCCCACCCATACCATGCTCCTGGAGCCTCTGACTGGCTGCACCACCCCTCACTCTGGCCTGTAGGGCACTAAGTGGTCAGTGAGCCAGAAGACCCTCCTGGGAGGGGTGGCCACAGTAGCCAAAACCACCTAAATACACCAGCACATGGCCTCCACCTTGCAGTTCTTTCTGGAGCTACTATTGCTATGGAAGCCTTGGACTTCCATAGGATTTCATCTTAAAGTAATACTCCCAATAAAGCTTGAGGACTTGGGACTTGGGTGTTACAGATGCTTAGACTACAATAGTAAAAAACTTCATTTCATCCACTTAAGTCAGATGTTCAAGAGAGTCATATCTTCAAAGGTAGGATCCTCAAACTCTACAATGCATGATTTTGCATGGATACGACTTTTCCAGAGTAGACAGAGATGTCTGGCAATGTAAGTTACCGGTGGTGAAAAAAAGGAATGTTTTAAACACTGAATTTCATTGTGCACTGTGGGAAGTAAGACTGCTGTTGCTTGGGATCTTCAGAAGTAACAGTGTAGTAAAGTAGTTGACTTTACTCTCACCAATGCATGTTTAATGCCTTTCTTGAATAGTTTGAATTTTCATGCATCTTCTGTGTGATAATGATCTTCTGATATTACTTTCAGTAGAAGTGTCTAGAGGGGTAATCTTATAACTGCAGAAGCCAAACCAGACACATAGTGCAAATCAATGTCTGGCTTCCTGGCTGGTGCCATCGAGATGGTTTTGGCTTTGGTGGCAATAGATTGTAGTTTAATGAGTGTAGCCTGTTAGGGAGGGATAAGATCCACCTGTTTAAAAAGGGCAAGAGAATCTTTGGCAGCAGACTGGCCGATTTGGTGAGGCGGGTTTTAAACTGAAGGACTGGAGGGGTGGGGTCCAAAGTGGCAATGCTCATGCCATTGCTTCCTCCTGGGGAGTAGGACATGCCAATCGGTGCGGCGACAGATGTTCCTCTGCTGCCTCTCAAGATGAGAATCATAGGGCTAGCAACATCCGTCTCTGATTTCGGATGTTCGGCTTCTCCTACGCGTCGCTTTCCAGAAACTCAAGGCCTAGAAACGTGGAGCTCAGCTGGAGCGCTGCTGGAGCCGCGCGGGCTGGCAGTGCAGGCTGCAGGGCTGGGCTGGGCTGGGCTGGCTGCCCTACCGCGGGCGGCTGAGCGGCTCCTCGCACTGAGTGCCACCCCTTGGGCGGGGGCTCCGCCCGACGGGGAGGGGCTGGGCCGGGCCGGGCCGGGCCGGGGCTGCCCCTGTGGCCGTCACGGTAGCTCCGCGGCCCGCCCTTCCTGCTGTCCCCGCCGCAGCCGTCCCTGCTCGCCGGGGGCTGCGGGGGGCGCGGCGCTGGTGTTGCCTTCCTGCCCGGTGCACGGCGAGGTGAGGCGCCCGGGCCGGGCCGGGTGGGGTGGGGTGTGAGGGTCCTCGGGCCGCGGCTCTGCCCGGCGGGGGCGGCGGCTCCGTGGCGGGGCGTGCGGGGAGCGCCGATGCCGGCGAGGGGCGGCCCGGGCGGGCTCCGCCCCGAGGGAAGGTCCCGCTCGGTCCGGTTGTGCCCGCGGAGGTACCGGGACGGCTTGCCCAGGCTTAGCTGGCGTCCGTACCTGATAGCATTTAATGATATTGCATTTCTTGTTTCTTCAGCCAGCCTTCCCTCTTCAGCCCTTTTATGTATCGGGAAGCGTCTCGCGCCAGAAGCGTCTCTGAATGTTGGTAGCGGGGGTAGAAGTAGTAATGTCAGAAAGGGATGCAACAGTGCAGGTGTGCGATGGTATCTCCCGGCTGCCCTTCCCGGGGAGCGTCGGACTCGGTGGTCTTCCGAGGTCTCTCGCAGCCAGGGCTGGGAGAGTGTGACCTGGGAGTGTGTCCGCCGACGTAGCCCGGCAGCAGCCTGCTCCCGGCTTTCCCTCCCCGTGGGCAGAGCTGTGGAGATCTTACCCCTGCTTGTGGGGACTGACGGCTTTTCACAAGTTCGTGCCTCCCGAGACCTTCCTGCTTTTGCTTGGAAAAGTGTTACCCTCAGCTCCTCAGAAATTTTGGGTTGACTGTTCGGTACACAGTGAAGATTTGGTTTGTGTTCTGCACCCAAGAGATTTGCCTTGCTTTGCTTTATTGGATCCCTTGCCAGCTTGAAGGTGGGATGAGTTGATCAGGTTTTTAATTAATCTTGCTCTTGAGTTGATTCTCTTTGAATGGCCTTGCATCTTAACAGCACTTTACTCTTAAGGAATTATTTGTAATGTTGATAGTTTTATTCTCCTGGGAGAGACCTACATATTTTACAGTGAAACCATATGTGTAGTACTGCTGTGGTGGAGAAATGGTAGCAATTGAGTAGGTTTCCTAGTCTTTGTTTAAGGTAAGTGCGTGTCCTGTTACTTGTGATACTAAGATAGGAAAAAAATACTGGCAACAAAATATTTTCCTAAAAAGAATTAAACAGTCTGATTAACTGTTGAAAAACTTCTGCTGTATGTTTGCTTGTTTAATTTTGTTTTCATGCACAGTATTTGCAGGTGGTGATACTGTTTTTCACAAGTACACATAGGCAGCATACCCAGAAACTTTGTGCGGGTATTCTAGAAGATTTTGTCAAGTTATCTTTGATTACCTAATTTCTGTCATCAGAATAGATACCTACCTTAAACCTCTGTTTTGCCACACCTTTTTTGGGAATTCCCTGTAATCAGATAAAGGGCATCGAGGGTGTTTGGTTATTAGTTTCTTGTAAAGTAGTCATTTGAAAGAAGAGATACTTCTTGAGCTGAAAAATAATTAATGGACAAGTGTTAACAGTCACCACCACCACCCCCCCTTTGAACAGTGCTTTTTTAGTTTTTTCATAGTTTTCTGATCTGTTACTTCTAGTTTAAAATCTATTAGAAAAGCAAGACATAAGATCTGAATTGATCTGAATCAAATGGTTATTCTTGAGCAGGATGAGAGTGCAGTTGCTGAAAGTGTTGTGGTGAAAATTCCCTTCCCTTCCTGTTCCTGTGAAAAGTGTGACTGGTAACTTGGGTAAACAGTGACTCAGTGACTTTCTGTGGCATCCCTGTTTAATTTTTTTTTTCTTTTTTTTTTTTTTTGGTGGTTGACACTTTAAAGTGAGCCAATCATCCGAAGTATGGGAGTTTGAATAGTGGTTGTTGCTGAATGTTTCAGGGTGTGGTGGTTTTGGGTTTTTTTCCTCTGCAGTTTGTAAGTCTCTGTGAAAGGCTTGAGTTCAGTATACAAACTTTAAATCTCCATTGGAAAAACAGTGTTGCTGCAGAGGATGGTAAGAAGTCCATATGCTGTGTTTTGTGACAGTCTGTGCAACCTTGCAAGCATAAAGGTTGCTGCTAGCTGTAACTGCTTCTCATCATGTGGCTGTGAATAGTGGTACTTGGGAGTAAGATCCCATTGCAAGTGAGAATCAACAACTGTATTTCTCTTTCAAGGATAATAACTACTGTGTATTAACCATTTATAAAAGTAAAGAGGTTTTGACTGATTTTTGTCGCCACTCCATTTCCACCCACCTACAAACCGTCATCTCTTTTTTTTTAGAAGACTGGGCAGCCAAATGTTTTCTCTCTGATTCACTTTTTTAAGAATTTTTTTCTTTTTACAGTTTCATTTAACTTTTTTTTTCCTTAATAAAACCTAGTTTCTAGTAGCTTTTAGTCTGATTTAGCCGTGTCTGGGTGTAACTAAGTTGTTAATGGAGGAGGTTTTGATTAGCTTGCTTGGTTAATATAGTATATTTCTATTCAAGCAGTCAGACATAGGAATTCTATGACAATATGTGGAAAAAAAAGGCAAATTCTTCAAGAATCTCACTGGGAAATTGGAGAGGAATCTGCAAAAGATGGGGATAGCACCATGTGGGGGGCCCTCAATGAGAGGAGGTTTCCCCATCCTGGGCTGGTCTGATCAGGATGGGGCTGTGTGTCCTCTGTGCTGTGTGTTAGCCTGGTTAGCCTGTAGGTCCTTGTTGTTTGGGGTTGTTTTCCTTCCCCCCCACTCTGTTTATGGCCCTGCCTTTCCAAAGGGCTTTTTCTAAGGCTTGGTCCTTTTTCAGAGTTCCAGGTACTCAGATCTCCAAGAGGTGTGTCTTCACTTTTCAACGTCTGCTGCAGCTGCCCTGGCTTATGTTGTCTTTGTACCATGCAATGACTGGGTGATGGAGGAGGAAGTTGGTAGGCAGGTGCGCTGCTAGGGGATAAGGGACCCCTTTTACTTTCCTGCTTGCTGTGTGCCTATTTAATTTTTCATCTTTTCCAGTTGTTCTTGCTCAGCAGGTTTTACAGAAGCACACAGAGCTGGACCCTGAACTTGGCTTTCCTTCCTGGAGTCTGAAATGCACTATTCTGCTCTGTCTTTACTTCTAAAGTCTTAGTCTTGAGACTTGTTCAGCAAGGTTGTTAGTTTTCTGTAGTGGAAGACTGCTGGATACCAGCTATCATACTTCAGCTGAGTACAGTAAAAGAAGGAATTGCTCAGACTGATAGTGTGTTAGTGTGGGAAGTAAAAGTATGCTATGTGGTAATTTGCTTGAATATCTTAGAGTCTAAAACACCTCCCTTTTGATGAAGCACACTATGTTGGCAAAGCAGGATGAAATCTGCTGTTCAGAAGTCAGGAATTTTATGCATATGCTCATTTTTTTTGTATGTTGTGGACATTGGTGAAAGATGGATTCCTTCATGTTCAGAAAAATTACTTTTTTATGCATAAAATCAGAAACATATTTTAATTTCAGCTGAAATAACTGTGCCAGGCCAGATGTTTCCTGGAGAACAGCATGTGCAAACACATTTTCGTGTAAATGTACTTACTGAGCTGATTTGCTTATCTCTCCTCCAAAACACGAGTGCATGTATCCATGAAAGAAAGTTAATCAGTTTTTTATTTTAAATTGATGGTAGAAGGAATATCAATATTGCAACTGAGGTAAAGTTTTGGGCCTGCTGTTCAAATGGAAGATCCTTCCGTGTGTTTCATCTCCTTCCTCTTCCTTTTTCCTTTCCTTCTGTTCAGTATAAAAATGTATTCCTAATTAACATAAATTATTTAAGGACAAACAACACTGGATTTTCTAGAAAGAGCAAAGTCAAACATGCTTTAGTGAAATCAGCACTTTCTTTTCCTGTTTTTTAATAGCTGAAAACAGCAGAAAAGGTGGTGATGCTACCAGAATTGTGTACTCTCTAGGTGTATTGGCATTTCTTTAACAAGGTTTTGTGCCTGTGCCTTAAGCTGAATGGTGAACAAATCATTCTCCCTTTGAACGATATAATTGCTTTCCCTCTGAAAATTTTTGAGGTAAATATCTAGTCCCATATATTTATCCAGTAGATAAATTCCAGTGCAAGTTGTTACTACTGATAATGTGGACTACTTTATCTATTTCTGTCAGCAGTAAGGAATATACCAATTATATTATTCAAGGAACATTTGGAATGATGCATTATGTCTTGCAGTGCTGTGTTTAGTAATTTTTCTGTGTTTTTGAATATACCAACTAACACTCTTACAGCAAAGAACAGGATACGAATAACTTCATGACAGGTCCTGATACACCTTTTTTTTGAAATATAGTGTTTTATTCTGGTTATGCAGAGGTAAATCAGTTCTCTTGTCTTTAGCTAATGTCGTGGTGCTGATCATCCCCTTTGTCCTGCTCTGGAGATCTGTGGTGCCTGCTGACTGCTGGCATCACACTCTTCCCCTGTGTTTATGGTGTATATCCACATGTAAATCCTTTGAGAGTTGCTACCATTTAATAACTTTTAAAACATTGCAACCTGTGCATTGCATCTGTAGGGCAGAAATTGGTTTACTTAAGAGCATCACCTTGAGAGACAGTACAATATGGTAATAGTAAATCTACCCATTTTATATATAACTAGTGTCTTGTGATGCATCCATATTTGCTGTCTGTCTTTTATCTTCTGTGCTCATTTTTGCTGGCTTTTGTCTGCAGGAATACAGAAACAAAAAAGGTTAATCTCAGTTTACAAGGGAGCAATCTACTAGAAGCTGCGACTGAGAGTCGCAGTGGAGTTTGAGGATTCATTGAGCTAGGTGCTGTTATGCTTATTAGGACCAGAATTTGCCACATAATAAGATGAATGTGGCCTGTTAGAATATAGAGAATTGCAATTACCCTTTGCCCCTGCTTATCTTTTAAGATGGACTGTTTCTTAGGAATAATGTAAGTCTCAAGAGCGACTAGTAGAACCCCTGGTACTGCTCATTCATTAAAGCAGGTTATTTATTTTCAAAAAGGTTATTTATTTTCTGTTAGGAGCAAAGAAAGCAGCTGAGGATCAAAACAGAGAAACTTAAAGCAATTAAATGTTGAAATCAATGGCGTGTCTGCTAATATTTTTATTTATTTTTATATTATCCTTAAAAAAGTTTGGTTCAATTTGACTTACTTATTCACAATCTTGGAGCCACGAAGTTAACATAGTATTATCAGAGGAAAGAAGTTGAAACTGCCTAATTTTAGGAAGCAAAGTGCAAATTACTTCTCAAACAGCAAGACATAAGTTAATTTTCTCACTAAATTAGGTAACAAGGAATCTGTCCTCTGTCTGTAGACCAGTGTTGTCTAATTAGCTTCTTGGGTGAAATATATGATAAAAGAAAGGCTGGTTTGTTCTTTTTATTACAGATTTTCATTATATTGTTAGGTGTATTCAAGACATTCCCCTCAAGACCATGTGAAGCTTTATGTACAAACTGATAGTATTTCTTTGTCTTTCAGATGGAAATACCTAGGTAGTACACCTTCCTTGCTGGGTGTATGCCCATCAGCTGAGAGCTGTTGCATTACTGCTAAGAAAGTTTTGTTGTGTGTATAAAATAGCTGTAGTGGAGGATGTAATATAATGTGTCCTTTTTAATTTGCAGGTTTCCACACTTGTGGTTCTTTGGATTTGTTTTTTTTTCTTGGAAATGGTAGGTCTAGGAAGCAGCTGCCGAGGGATGAAGTCTCCACCACTCCTCATGGCTGCACTCGTGGCATGCATCATTGTTCTGGGTTTCAATTACTGGATTGCAAGTTCTCGCAGCATGGATCTGCAGGTAACTTTCCTTTTGCTCTGCATGTTGTTTTGTACTTTCATGGTTAATAAACATAGTTCACAAGAAGGATGCTTCCCTTGCGTATGGCAAGCCGGGGGCTTCAGCTTGTTTTAGGAACTTTCACAAATACTACAGTTGTTGCTTATCAGTAGTAGTGGGAGATGGGGATAATGGGATGAGTGCCTATTTGTAGGTGAGAGGGACACAAAACTTGAAGACCTGCGTATATATTACTTCTACTCACACAAAGCATTCAGCTGTCTTATGCTATTTCAGTTTAAATGCTGTCCTCTGTTTTTTCTTCTTAACTGTACATTGAGACTGGCAGTCCATTTTTAATGGGAATGAGCGTTCATTTGCTCAGTTTGCTCATCTGTCATGGTTTCACTGCAGTTGGTAATGAAGCCCCACGCAGCTGCTCATCACTCCCCCACCACCAGGATCAGGGGGAGAATCAGAAGGGCATAAACTGGAGAAGTTGTGGCCTGACATAAAGACAGTTTAGTAGGGAAAGTAAAAGCTACACATGCAAGCAGAGCAAAACAAATAATTAATCCAGTGCTTCCAATGGGCAGCAGGGTTTCAGCCATCTCCAGGAGAGCAGGGCCCCATCACATGTAACAGTTACCTGGGAAGACAAATGCCATCACTCCAAATGTTTCCCTTCCCCTTCCTTCTTCTTCCCCGCACTCTAGATGCTGTGCATGATGTCAGTGCTCTGGAATATCCCTTTGGTCAGTTTGGGTCACCTGTCCTAGCTGTATCTCCTTGCAACCTCCCACATACCCCCAACTTCCTTGCCAGTGTGGCAGGGTGAAAAGCAGAAAAGGCCTTGGCTCTGTGTAAGCCCTGCTCAGCAATAACAGAAACATCAACCCTATGTTCAGCACAAATCCAAAACGTAGCCCCATACTAGCCACTGTGAAGAAAATTAACTTTATCCCAGCCAAAACCAGCACACTCATCTCCCAAGATTTGTTGTCTTACATGACCCATAAGATTGTATGTACACTTTCCACGAAATACAAGGAAATCTAGGTTATTCAGTGTCTAAAAATCTGTATTTGTGTTTGTTAGTAACCTTTCTAAAGGAGGACGCACAACTCTTATGGAATAATTACCTGCTATTTTTGTAATGGTAACTACAGTTTTTGTTGCTGTTGCCTTTCTAGAGCATTTATTCTGAAGTAGGCTGTGTGAATCAAGTTTCTGCTTTGTGATGATTTGTGCAGGATGGATTTTTTTTTCCTTTGTTTTTAGCAAGCAAACCTAAAAGGGTTTTTAGTAATTAAACATGGCTGATGAGAGTTTTTATCAGTGAATTTGTACCCTCATTGTAACTGAGCTGAATTCTAGTATTGAATTGACAGCTGAAGGGGTTGAACTCCTGTTTCACCTCACAGTGGGCACTGTTTAAACAGGACACTTGTCTCTGGCCGTGTGGTTAATGGTGTGTTTTGACTTTCCCTTGTTGTGACTTATGAGGCTCTGGTCATCCCTTGCTTTCCCTTTAGTCAGTGTCCTCAGGGTGGTGGCTACCAGCAGGTAATAACTACGTCAGTACCACAGAAGTTTTGCTGCACAGCTGTGTAGCAGCTGATACTGAGAAAAAAATGCCACCATCCTTGTTTAATCTTGACCTCAATAACCTAGAGATATAAGGTCATTTTTAATGTTATTTATGTACTGTACTATCCTGTACATTTCTGCCAAAGTTAGCCTGGAAATCATTTCAGTTCTGCATGGTCATGAATTCTGAATGGAATAAAAGCATAGCTGAGGGCACGGATGGAGCTTCTAAAGCGCTCTGTCGATCCATTTGCTTGTTGGCAAGACTTTGCAGCTATTATGACTGAAATAGAATTAATGCTTTCCTTTGCTTTTGCAACTAAACTGCAATTCTTTTTTCTTATTTTTTTCTCTGCCTCCTCTCCCTTCTCTTGCTTTCTGTGGCAGAGAAGCAGAGTAGGGCCACAGTATGGAGCATTACTGGGGTGTAAGAAGATTTTCTTGGAGTCTTGGAACATGCACAGTTTCTGTTCTATCTTAATTTTTAATCCACCTGGAATCACCAGGCCTTTTTATCTGGGTATATTCTGTTGATATCCTCATCCTCCTGTATGTCTTTGTACTCCTCATTGTTGCAGAAGAACAACTGTAACGCAAAGTGTTTAGAAACCATCCTACAAAACTAAATTGGTGCTTAAAAAAATAGCTCCTTTTTTTCCCTCCCCTTCTATGTTAACATCAAGCTTGATTCCTCAGCTTATGTCTCTGTGTTTGGATGTCCACTATGTGATAGTGTTGAATTTTCTTCTGATTGTCTCTGTTCTTCGAGCAGTCAGGAAGAATGATGATTTTCTGTTTCTAAATTGAATTCTTCTCGTGTGTGTGTTTTGTGTAATAGCTATATGTCAGTTGTTCATGTAGAAGTTGGGCAGTGTTGTCATCCCTCTGCTCTTTCCTAGGTCTTTCAGGAAAACATATTGATTTGAGAGGTACGTTTTCATTTTGAGCTAGTTTAGGATCGACACTGGGAAGTGTAGAGATGTCAGAATTGTATGGGTTGAATGAAAATAATTGTTTGGCCTTGTACTTTGGAAGGATTGTGGACTGTAATTTTTTTTCTTTTTTTTTTTTAAGCTCAAGTACTGAGGCAGCTTTCCATTTTTATTTTTAACTGAAATTTTGACAGTCTCTACAAAATATGCTGTACTGTTAATTTACATGAAACTGGGGAGATATGTGTCTGTGTGTGGGGTAAGTATCCCTGTCTCAGTACTTAAATTACATGAGCATTGTTAGAGCTGTGAAACTTGCTATTACTTGAATATATTGGAAGAGAGTCTGGCAAAGAGGAAGCATTTCTATTGTCTTTGGCTAATCTGCTTTTCATCAGAGTCGAGTCATGGATCTGGAAGGCAAAGTCCGGAGGGCGGCAGCGGAGAGGGGCGCTGTAGAGCTCAAAAAGAATGAATTCCAGGGGGAGCTAGAGAAGCAGCGACAGCAGATTGACAAAATCCAGTCCTTGCACAGCTTTCAGATGGAAAATGCCAACAGAGTACATCAGGAAGAGAAGGTAGGGCTTTTTCTAGCCACAGTTTTTCGTGAGACTGTGAATTACCAGGGCAGAATTACCCTGCAACAGAAAATGTTTCTCACATGTTCCAGCTGATGGGCATACAGTCAGTGTTGGTATGGCAAAACATTTATGTGTCATATTATGATATTTAGAAAATGAACATCAAATGCATGTTATAGCATTTGCTGTGTAATATATGAAATACTAGAAGCTGCAAGTAATAGCACTTCTGACTAAAACCCCTACGTCCTCTGTAAGTCATGGTTACCAACCTTGGATTGGCCTCTGCCTTTCTTTCTTGTATACTAATGTTTTAGTAATTAAAGGAAAGAGGAAAATGCACCAAGATATACATTTGTATTACCAAATACATTTGTAAGCATAAATGGTTGTTGTTTATTTCTAAACGCATTACAAATTTTGTAATTGGCCTTCTGTCTCCAAAACTCAGTAGTGCTGGGAAGACATGAGAAGGTTAGACTTTCATGGCAGAGCTCCTGACCGTACAGTGTTGCCAGGGAGACTGAAGCCCTTTGTGAAGAGTGTGAAGTTAGCTACTTAAATAGCAGTGTGTACAATTGCTGCTGTGTAGTATCTTGCAAACTGTTTTGTTGTGTGTATTCTTGCTGTTGCTGATACCATTTTGAACATGGTTAATAGTCATTGATATCACTTTTCACCCTGTTAGGAGAAATATTTAGTTGAAAGTATTCAGTTGCTTCTTCTGTAGAACCTCTTGACTGAATTTTTATAGATCAGCTTTCCATGACTATTACTTCCAACAGGCTGAGCAGACACAACACATGACAGTAGTAGGTGTTATTCAGGTAGTGAGTTGACCATAAGGGAATGGTTTGCTGCTCAAAACTTGTGGTGACTGAGCAAAATATCACCAGAATAATCTTTGAAGGATTTAGAGGAACAAAAGTTGAGTAAAAGTGAAACGTGGAGTATGCACATCAGTTGTATATATCTTTATTTTAAAATAATTTTTACTCAAAGTCTTAAAAGAAATACTAACCCAATTCTTTTTACCTCTTTTGAGACAAATATGTTTCTTTGATGTCTCTCTTCTCTTTGGGTTCAGTCTTTGCATATAGTTAAAAAAAGATGAGGTATAGTTTGTCTGTTTTTTACTGTCTGTATTTATTAAAAAGATATCCTAGGATAGTCAGACAGCATTTGAATGGGTAATCTATCTTGTTGTCACTTCTGCCTCCAAATATTGGGTGTTGCCACTGGGTGCTGTGGCACTTTTTTGTGTTCTACATCTGCCTTGCAAGGACTAAAAATGCATGCATGAGTGGGGAAAAAAACCCCCAAACCAAAAGATTCAAAGTCAGAAAAGGGCAAATGTAACAGTATTATGCTTCCTTTTCATAAGTAGATATAGCCAAAGTTATTAAAAGACACTGGAAATATAATTGCTGGCCACAGAGCTCACAGCCAGGCTAGCCAGATGGGTGGATGTTGAGAGATTGTGACAAGAGCTCATCTGGCATCTATACCAGGAAAAGTGGTGAAAAGTGTTTTACAAAACCAGAACTGCTGATGGACATGGGGGAGAATGTGGTAGTCTGGGAAAGAGTCAAAGCAGCTTCTGGCAAAGAAAGTCTTTCTTCTGAAGTCTCTTGGAGTTTTATGCTGAATGAATCAGTGACAAGGATGAGGTAGACAAATGAACCACATTCACACCTGAAATTGGAAAAGTCAGTATGCTCATAGCTTGTGGAGATACTAAGCAGCCATGCAGTAACACAGCAGTTATCTCAGAGGTGAATGATAAGGCAAACATTACAAAGAAGCTTAGAAATACACTGGGTTAGTTTTTGTACTGTGGGGAGATCACTGGAGTTTTGGAGTGCTGGGAAAAGCACGGAGAGGAGAACAAGGAGGATAACCAAAGCTGTGCCGTAGTTTTTCTACAGGAATCCACTATGTAGGTTACAGGCTGGACAAAAGTCAGTGGAGGAGGGCCATCATAGCCATCTCCAGGATCCCAATAGGATGTGTTTGTGGCTAGGAGAGACATGGCAGGGTTGTTCTCCATCCACTGATGGGCTTCAAATGCCATCATGAATTTGTAGTTCAGACTGGGCAGAAGGTAGTGCTCTTCAGGCAGTAGATGTTGAAGATGCAGTTCTGTGACATCCATAGTATGCAGTTGCAGTGGGTCTCTGTAGGTTAAAAAGCAACTGGAAAACCTGGGACAAGCACCTATTCCCCCCCCACCCCAGTACCAAGATGTTTGTTCTGTCTTAAAACATTTCTCAGCCAGAAGTATCTGCTGCTTGGAAAATACTGTGCTTTGTGGCTGCCATGGAATTCATTTGGCATTCCTGTGTTAGAGACAGGATGCTAGGAAGGGTGGATTTTGGGGCCAGTCGAGGAGCCCATTCTTTTTAAGTGCTTTTCCATCACCCTAAAATACAATTATTCAGTAATGAAACAGTCTATGAAACTTTCTTTGAAACCCCAGGAGCCGATGCTTTAGGAAGCATAACATGAAAGTGGTGCACTGGACTAATTTCCTGTTTTCTGCATTTTGTGCCTGGAGAAGTGCATGTCTGAGGAGCCTGAAGTGGTAGGATGAGCGTATATGTGCCTGTGCACCACTTTGTGTCAAATTCAAATTTTGTTTTTGTTGCAGCACATGTGCAAATATTCTACACGGGTGCTGTTTGTTTTCCAACTCTTAAATTAAGAGTAGAGAGAGTTGTGTTGCTGGGAACCTGTGTATGTGTCGAGGTTGCCATCAGCCAAGTTGTTATGGGTTCACCCATTGTAATTTAGGAGTTCCTCTGTGTCGTGGTTTTGCTCTGGGTCAGTTTGCTTTCACACCCTCCACACAATTACTGTTAGCTGAGAGAAGGTTTATGCAGTCAAAAGAGACTGGATTTGGGGAAAATAGTATGAACATTTATTACTAGCAAAATAAAAACTACTAAAGAACTACACCTATAACAATTCTACTTAAGTAAAAGTGCTATGTATTTACAGAAATACTTCTCTCCCCTTTATATCAGTCCAAGGAGGAGAAGCAGTCCTTTTCTCCATTCTCAGAGCTCCAGGTCTCTTCAATAATTCTGCAGCACTCTTGTCGCAGCTGGGAACTCTTTTTCTTTTTCTCTTGCTCTGTGTTGGCCTCCAGGGCTGGGCCTACCCCCTTCCTGGGCTAAGACTGGAGGCTGGGGGTTACCCAGGTCCTGAAGGTTTTTTCTTCCATAGACTTGCAAGGGGACACTTGCCTACCATGGATATTGTTCCACAGGGTCACAGGGGATAATGGCTTATGAGTCCACCCCTGTTTCCCTATGGAGGTTCCTCCCCACAGGAGAACAGTCCTTGATAGACCTCTCCGGCATGGGTCTAGCTGGATCCCACACGTGGATCCCAACATCCCTACCCAAGCAGTTTTCTGCTCCAGCATAGGTTTCCCTCAGGGTCACAAAATCTTCAGTAGCAGCATGGATCCCTCTCTCAGATCCCAAGCTTACCTGAGCCATCTTTTGCTTTGGCATAAGGCTTATCCCTTCAGGGTCATAAATCTTCAACAGGACTCTGCCTTATCTCAGTCCTTTTCATGAAGTCTCGGCTTCCTCATGCAACTTACTCTAGTGTAGGCTCTTCCACAAGCAACATGGAGTCTCCTTACCCCAACAGACTTCTACAGGTGGCAGGGATTATTCTTTTAGTCTTTTCCCTCTGAAGGGAGGGAGTGAAAGGGGGGAGAAACAGGCCCCCCTTTGCACTTTTCTTCTCTCTCCTCCGGCTGCCAACTTTGAACTTGGACATTTCATTATCTCTTTGCTGGAATTTCTTCTGCAGCGTTTCTCATCCAAGCAGTCAGTCCTTCTTTAAAGTTTTTTTTCTGTACTCTCTTACATGAGAGAAGAGGGGCTTCAGTGCTACACCTACCCCAGCCCAAGCCGAGGGAGGAGAGGGCCTGGCCCCCACCTGGGGCTTGCTCCTCTCCTGCATGGTTACTGCTCTTAATTTCAACTGTGCCACAAGCCTTCTCTTCCATTTCCTTAAATATATAATTAACAAAGGTGTTACTGAGAGTTTTGATTGGCCTTTTTGTCCAGAAATCCACCTGGATAAAACCATCCTCAGCCCCAGGGGCTGGCTGGTTGGGCAAAACCACGACACTCCGATATGGTGGGAGTGAAGAGAGGGAAAGCTTAGTTCTCCTCACTAATGACCTTTGTCTGAAGAAGCTGCCTAGGATCGGAGGTTATTCCACAGAGGGATGTGGAATATAAGAAAAGACTGTTTCTGAGTGCTCTTTTGTTTCTTTGTATCTATATCCATGTAGAAGTGTGTATGGAATCCTTGGTTTTCAGCTCCATGGATTCCAGTGGAATCTGAGATTCTGGAGAGGCAACTAATGAATTCACTCTTTCTGGTTATGGGAAGGTTGCTCCTTGAACTGAACTTTTTTTACCCTGTAAGGATTAGCAGCAAGTATTTACCTATTCAGGGAGAATAAATGCCAATCCAAATCCTCGGTCTCTCAACTCGTTTTGCAAGTAATACAAACTGTATAACTAGCTGGAGAGATCTTTGAGTCATAAATGAGATTTGCTTAGTTCTTGTGGTTGTTCATAAACAAAAATAAAAATGCTTGCAGCAGATATGTAGGAATGAACAGTCTCTCTCAAACCCTCCACGTTTTCAGAGAGAAATGATGGTTTTTCTGATTATAGAAGAAATTTGTATGCAAGGAGACTTCCACAATCTGGCCTTCTTAGCAAAAGCAACTTGCAAGTAACATTTGAGACCTGTCTTATTTACAGTTCATCTCTATGTCTTTTACTCTGCTGATAAAATACAAAATAATTATGCCACTGATTTAGTTTCATACCAAACTGCTACACCAGTAAGGTACTTGCCCTGTTAAAGTCGTTGCCGGTGGCACTGCAGTAATCACTTCGAGTTAAATCTGCCTTCTTTTGAAGTAGAACTGTCTTTGTGCTACTAAAAGGTGAGGGCAT